ACCTCTGGAAGCTCTTCCCTCGGCCCCAGCCAGGGAGCTGCTTTGACACTGGTCAGTCAGGGTAATGTGGGGCTGAGGGGTGGGGAAGACTGACTCCAGACTTGTTTGCTAGGTCTGTTGTGGCCTTAGCCTGTGCCCAGACCCCAACCCTGAGTCTGAGTAGACTCCATGTACAGTCTGCGGAGGTGCCTCATTGGTAGGCCCGGGGAGGCCGGCTCCCTAGAGATAATCGGGATTCTATCCCAAGCTGGCGTAGAGGAAGGATGTGTCTCCAAAGGCTGGACCACTGAGGCCCTGGTTTCTCTCTGCTCCAGGTTTTTCTTCACATACCTCCTTCCCCACAGTGCCCCACCCTCACTACGGCCTCTGCTGGACAGTATTGTCAATGCCACAGGTGAGCTCTCCAGGGCCCATCTGCTTCCCGTCACCCTGCCCCTCCCCCAGCAGGTATGGGGACAAGAATGACCCAGGGCAGCCCCTGGTCCAGAAACCATCATCTCCCAAAGTGGCATTCTGTGGCGAACCTCCTCCCCAGCCCACCAGTCCTCTGGGCCCAGGCTCCAGAGGGAGAGAGGGAAAGGCAGCTGCCTGCCTACCTGGGGAGAAGCAGGAGCCCACGCCCCCTCTCATAGCCACCCTGTGCCCTGCAGGAGAACTCACGTGGGGGGTGGACGAGACGCTGGCCCAGCTGGAGAAGGTGCTGCACCTGTACCGGAGCGGGCAGTATCTGCAGAACTCCACCGCAGACAGCAGAGCTGGTGAGTAGCCCCTGCAGGGATCCAGGGGCTGGGGAGGTGGTAAACAGGTGGGAGGGGGACCCGTCTCCCTAATTGGACTAAGTAGCTCCTGCCCCCTCTAAGGCTTACTTGGTGTGATATACAGGCTGCTGGCTAGGTAGCCTTCACTTGGAGGCCTCATCTCTGGCTGAACTAGAACTATAACTTGACCTTAAACCAGGGGGGGTTGGCACTGACACCCCTCCTCTGGGTGGCTCCAAACTGCGCTGTGTACTGTCTGTGTGACTGTGGGCAAGGTACACTTGAGCTTCACTTTCCTCATCTATGAATTGGGTTCAGTATTACCTGCCTCACAAAATTCTTATGGGCGTAAATACCAGGTGAAGTGTGTGAAAGCAATTAACCCAGTTCCTATTCCACAGCTGGAAGACGGCATATGTTTGCTTCTCTTTCCTTCCTCTACACTTCTGGGGCTAGGA